GAAAGGCCTACAAAGGCAAAATAAAGTCGAAAAGGTTGATTCCCACGCGACCACCCGTCATGGCAGGGTTTGGCAAAACCAAAAGTTTCTCCGGGGCCAGAAATGAAATCGGTGTTCAGGAAACAACCAGTTGTAGTGAAGTTATCGTCAAAGAAGCCGGCCAAGATGAAGTGATTGAAACACTCAAGCCGAAAAACCAACCACTGTTTCAAATTAATAATTGTTCTTTGTTTGAAAATAGAAAACGGGTGCAATCCAAAAGCAACCTTGCAAGAAGCAGGTGCAACCAAAAGAAACTGCACAAGGGCTAAAAAAAGCTTTGCAGTAACAACCCCAAAAAGGAAGTTTTCTCCATATTCTTTCCCGCATTTTACTCATTCTCTTTATTAAAAAAAAAGAAGAAAAAGTTCAAAATCATGGTAGTATAGGGTCTCCAATCCCTAGATGCGTTTTTCAACATAGGTTCTCCACTCCCTAGTTGATTTTTATTTTAGACATAGGGTCTCCACTCCCTAGTTGATTTTTATTTTAGACATAGGGTCTCCACTCCCTAGTCGCTTTTCCAACATAGGGTCTCCACTCTTGAGTTAATATTTATTTTAGACATAGGGTCTCCACTCCCTAGTCGCTTTTCCAACGTAGGGTCTCCACTCCCTAGTTGATTTTTATTTTAGACATAGGGTCTTCACTCCCTAGTCTCCTTTCCAACATAGGGTCTCCACTCCCTAGTTGATGATTTTCCAACATAGGATCTTCACTCCCTAGTTGATGCCAACATATGTTCTCCACTCCCTAGTTGATGATTTTCCAACATAGGGTCTCCACTCCTTAGTTGATGATTTTCTAACATAGGGTCTCCACTCCCTAGTTGATGCCAACATAGGTTCTCCACTCCCTAGTTGCTGATTTTCCAGCATAGGGTCTCCACTCCCTAGTTGATGATTTTCCAACATAGGGTCTCCACTCTCTAGTTGATGCCAACATAGGGTCTCCACTCTCTAGTTGATGATTTTCCAACATAGGGTCTCCACTACCTAGTTGATGATTTTCCAACATAGGGTCTCCCCTCCCTAGTTGATGATTTTCCAACATAGGGTCTCCACTCCCTAGTCTCTTTTCCAACATAGGGTCTCCACTCCCTAGTTGATGATTTTTAGATATAGGGTCTCCACTCCCTAGTTGCTTTTCCAACATAGGGTCTCCACTCCCTTGTTAATTTTTATTTTAGACATAGGGTCTCCACTCCCTAGTCGCTTTTCCAACATAGGGCCTCTACTCCCTAGTTGATTTTATTTTTAGGCATAAGTCTCCACTCCCTAGTCTCTTTTCCAACATAGTGTCTCCACTCCCTAGTTTACTTTATTTTAGACATAGGGTATCCACTCCCTAGTATCTTTTCCAATATAGGGTCTGCACTCCCTAGTTGATGAGTTTATTTTAGACATAGGGTCTCCACTCCCTAGTCTCTTTTTCACGGGGTACATCATTCCCACCCTTTTTTTTATTGCTTTCAATAATGAAGTAGTATAGAGTTTTGTTACAAATAACTCACAAAATTTTTCTAGTGAAAACTGAGGCAGAAAAATTTCGTTCGTTCGTTTGTTTTGGTGCCTGAGCAGGCTATTCCTCGAGGCACAGGGTTCGAGATGACCAAAAGAAGAAGTCTCAATCCAAAATAAAGAAAAGAAAAAGAAAAGAAGTGAACTCAAAGTGCAGAAGCGGAGAAAAGATGTGAACTGCTCAAGACATGATTGAAGTCACAAGCTTTGCATGTCCCGCCTTGATCCGAAAAGCTGAAGAAGAATGAACCAGCAGTTGCAGCTAACAAGCATCAAGATTCAGATCAGAGTCTGTGTGAAGAACCAACCAAGACTTAAGATCAAGCTTCAAAAGACTCATAGATAGGAATCTTGTAACTCATAGCTGGTAGGCTTAGTTAGTTTCTTTTTCATTTTGATTTTGGTGTAATAAGGAGCTCAACAAGCAGTAAACAGCAGCAACATCGGTGAAATAATAGTTTCACGGTAGTCCCAGCTACCAAAACTTCCAGAACTATACCGACCTAATTCCTTTATAGACAAGGATATGTAGGCAACCTTTGAAGCAGGTTCGGTCAAGCTTTTTCAAAATGCTTTCCATGGAATATCAAACGGGCAAAAATTTGTTCATCATTGCTCACTTTATCTTCGCCCGAAAACTCTTCATGTTTCCGAGTAAAGAGGGGCAGCTGTGAGCACCTAATTTTTGCCCCACATAGGAAATTACTCCCAAATATTCAAAAATAGTTTTAGTGACTTTTGTAAAATTTTAGGAATTTTTATTTTTATTTGTTTGGTATTAATTTGCACTTTTAGCATGTTTTAGTAGCATTTCAAATCACGAAAATGATCAAAAATATTTTCTCTTTTGCTTTTTGCATTTTTAGATTTTTACTTGCATTATTAACATTTAATTTGCATTAATTAAAATACAAAAATACTTTAGTTTATTTTACATTTTAGGTTCAAATTAATTAATTGACCATAAAATCGGAACTGGGCTAAAACAATTCCAAAGTGGCCCAATTTTCGCCCCAATCCACTCTCCTCCACCCAACCCACGACCCGCCTGGCCCAAATTCTTTTCATTAAACTTATTCCCCTCACCCTTTCACTTAGAGATCAGACCCTTCCCTATTTGGAAACTCTAGAGCCAGCCATTCCCACCCTTCAACTCCACATGACAAAATCTCCATATCTCAGCCACACGCCATCAAAAAATCGGCGACACCATACACAACACACACACATAGAAGTAGAGATGAAAGATCATATCCCCTCCCTTTAACCTAAAACCCTAGCCGCCGTTTCCTTTCTCACCTCTCATTCTGACCTTCCTGGTCCATTCACACACACATTTGAAGAACAAACAAGCACAAAGAAGGATCAAAAACAAATTCGAAGTTCAAAAGTTAAAAGAAAAAAGTGAAACAAGAGCTTTCAAAAAATGGATTAAGAGGATTTTCTATAGGGATTTCAATTTCTGTCATTTGAAGTACTTTCCTGGGACTCTCACGGTTTAGGTGGGGTTGAGGATACTATGTTTCGGCTGCTACTTCTTTCATGCTCGCTTCTGAACTCCATCAGCTCTATTGTGGCCTTTATTTGGCCATTGATATTTGTTAGATTGATTCCTGTGCGTTAGATATGTACCTAAATTTTACTTTTCTTCCAGACCTGTTATAATATGAGAACGTATTTGCCTTCGGTTTGTCTCTACTATTTGTTTGGATTTATTGACTTCGATTTTAGTTGAGACTTAAAAACAAATGATATCTAGTCTACTGTGAAGCCATAACAGTTCTCTGAATTTTTATTTTTTTATTTTTATTTTTTTTATTTATATTTATAATGGTTTGGAGTTATTAACTTTTACTTAGTTTTAGCATAAGAAATAAAATGCTCATGGAATCAGTAGAACCTATTTACAGATCGGGTATGACTTTTGAATATAATCAGTTTATTCAATTTGATTTCAAGATATTTTAGCATCAGATTTTCGAAAAAGAGTGAAAGAATACGAGTCAAAATTAGGCATTTAGCATAAATGGTGTAAAATGGTCATCTTGTTAAAGGTTTGATTACAGAAAAAGCTGGGTATTTAAATTCAATCCTAATTTAGCCTTGTATTCCTTTGTGCCAAGTTCATCATTGCTGTATTTGAAAGTTAGTGCATGATGCCTATCCTTTATTTAATACCTTACTCATTTCGCCTCATTTGTTGGTTCATGGGGGAAACCATTTCTGTTTTTTTTAGCGTACCTTATTCCATGACGCTTTCATTTTTGGCGAGGCAATTTAGTGCTCTTTTGTTAATTCATCTTCTGATAGCGGGGATTTGGGGGAAGGCATGGCAGTGTTTGGACGAAAGTAATGGGTGCATATGTTAATTCGGTTGGCAAATGTGTTAAATTTGGGCAAAATTAATGCACTATTTGATATTATTTGGTCCACATGTCAATAAGGCTACAAATTAGTCCACTTTTCCAAACTGATTTGCTTCACTTTTTCACAACAATCTCAAATTAGTTTAGGAAATAATTCAAACATCGTAGCTTGCTTTAGGCGCGTTAATTAAATAAATCATCGTCACTATGGGTACGGTTCCTGTGGCATAGCCATGATACGTAATCCCCAATACGAGTGTGCGTTTCACGTGACTCGACCATAACTTCAAACAATAATAAAATAAACATGTTGTAGATCGTGGGTACGGTTCCCGGGACGCGATTCGCAACGTGTACAAAAACAATGCGCGACATCGCGACTTGTTCAAACAAATTCTATAAATGATTAAAAGCGGTTAAAGGTTAAAAACGCACAATAGGTTTAAAACTTGTAATAAAACAGATAATTAGGCCGATTATTAATAGTTGAGCGACCGTGCTAAAACCACGAAACTCGGGAGTGCCTCACACCTTCTCCCGGGTTAACAGAATTCCTTACCCGGTCTTCAGTGTTCGTAGACCGTAAATAAAAGTCAAACTTTCTCGATTTGGGAGTTAAAATAAACAGGTGACTTGGGACACCATAAATTATTCCAAGTGGCGACTCTAAAAATAAATAACTAATCTCATTTCGAATAATGTCACTTAAATTGAAAAAACCTTTCTATCCCCTCAAAAAAAAAAAAAAAAGAGGTGTGACAACTGAAATTCCTACAAAGCAGATGGTGGACCCAAAACTCTCAGCTTTGTTCAAATTAATCTCAAACAATGAATTTTTACTTATTGTATCAGTTTTACATTATTTTGTCTCCTTTTCTTTGAGGTTTCTTTTCATTCTTTTTTTCCACTAACAGAAAATCCAATCCTAACATAGATTACGATGAAAATGTGCTAGCCTTCATCCTAATTACTCATTACAAATTAAGTTATTTTGTGAAAGAAAAATAAATTGTTGGGGTTAAATTGTAGATGGGAAAAGAGTTCAAGTAAGAAAAGTGCATTTATTCTCTCAAGAAGCCCTCCCTTTGATATTTTCACTCTCTGTCTGACTGCTGAAAAATCGTTGTCCACTAAGAACATTTGTCAGTGCCACAGAACCAAAAAAGAAAAAGGGTGAAAAGTTCTTCCCTTTTTCAACACACAGAAGAAAATCGTCAGAGAGAGAGATCGGAAATGGGTGAACGTGAGAATTTCGTATACATCGCTAAGCTTGCTGAGCAAGCTGAACGCTACGATGGTTAGGGTTTCATTCCTCTCTTTTTTTCCTGTCAGCATGTAAAATTAAGCATTTTTTAGATCTTAATATGGTTAGATCTCTGTTAAATTCTATGCTCTTAAAACTTACTGCTTAAGTAAAGTAATTGTGTTTTCGCTTATTAAGAAAAAGCTTCATAATCGAAAAAAAAATTCAGTGCTTCGACATTTCAAGTTTCAGTAAGCTGCTACTGTTGGTGTATTAGAAGAATTTGCAGTTTGGACAATTTTTAGAAAAATTTTATATTTTACTGATAAAAAAGCTTTTGCATCAGAAAAGGATCTTGTGTTTGGATAATAGTAGTTTTTCTGAAGTTCCGCAGGTGGAGGATGATTTTTTTTTTTTTTGGTTTGGAAAACTTAACCGAATTCCAAAATCCTTTTTTTCTCATTATGTTAAGAACTTCGACTAGTGAATGAATTTTTCCTTCACTAAGCCGTTCAGAACAGATTCTATATCTATTCTGTGGCCGACTGGATTTGCTTATTTATCCCGTACTCTTTTTGTAATCTCTCAGCGATGACAATGGAATTAGGATTTCATTTTCTAGGCAGTTGGTTGATATGTAATACTTAGAGAATATGTTACAGAGATGGTCGATGCAATGAAGAATGTTGCAAATATGGATGTTGAATTGACGGTGGAGGAGAGGAATTTGTTTTCTGTTGGTTATAAGAATGTGGTAGGGGCTAGGAGAGCATCGTGGAGGATCTTGTCTTCCATCGAGCAGAAGGAAGAGTCTAGAGGAAATGAGCAGAATGTGAAGCGGATCAAGGAGTACCAGCAAAAAGTGGAGTCAGAGCTCACCGACATTTGCAATAATATCATGACCGTGATTGATGAGCATCTAATTCCATCATGTACTTCAGGAGAATCAACTGTGTTTTACTACAAAATGTGAGGCCCTTGTATTTTATAGTTTGTTTTGAGTCAGAAATGTTGAGTTTGGTGTTTAGAAAGTTCAGAACATCATAGGTTGTTCATTTTTGTTTAGTTCGTTTAATCTTTTGGTGCAGGAAAGGGGATTATTATCGATACCTTGCAGAGTTCAAAACTGGGAATGACAAGAAAGAGGTTTCTGATCTGTCTTTAAAAGCATATCAGGTATTCAGTTACTTAAATGTGTAAGAAGAAAATTATACTGTTTTTATAAAGAAGAATACAATGATACATATTGTCTGTTGCCTGTGATCTTCCTCTTATTTCTTGGTTGATTCCTTCTTAGTGAGTGCCAGCATCCTTATCTAAAAGTAAGTGCTAGCATATGCTCTGCTCGATTGCTCCATGTCTGATTACTTAAATTGAGGCTATTCACTCTCTAGATATAGGCATAGCTTTTATATTTGAAACTGTCTAAATATTCATTCTGATTGAAGATCGAGTTCTTTACGCAAAAGAGAAGATTTCAAAAGGTTGATTCGGTGGAGTGGGAAAAGTCGGAGATTTCGAATTGGAAGGATAGTTTTTTAACTGTATTGCTTATGTTGAACTGTAGTACGCGTGAGAAAGATCCTGTCTTGGAAAGAATCCCGCTTAAGATGGTCAATTACTTTTGGTATGTCTTATTAAAATGTGATCCACGACTGTTATTCATCGAAACATTTTACCTCTAATCCTATCTGACGAAAGATAAGCAATGGCTGGCATGCTCGATGTGAGTGCTATCTTCATTTTGGAACACTTCACTGCAATTCTGAAGCTCCTAAGAAGGTTTTTGGAGTGGAGATTTGGTTGTTATTGAATGGTTGATGTTTAGCTTCATGATTTGCTAAAGAAGAATTTGATACAGTGGATAACTTTTTTATGAATGAAAACTGTTATCGAGGTTTGGCTGTGGTAATTTCCTTGAATAATTTTACTGGATTAGTTTGCATTTATTGTTTGTTGGTTTTCAACCAATCCTTTTAACTTCTAAGATGCATGGCAGTGGACATAAATGTTAACATCTGCATGCTAGCTGATAACGATGTAGCTAACAAATACAGACTATAAGATTGATATACCCATGATCTATTGGTTATATCCTATGGAGCATCAGTCTTTTGCCACAATGCCACTTGTACCAGGGCTCCTTAGTGTATTATTTTTGTTTTCTTTCAGCTTCATGATGCAGCACATGGCATAAACATGATGTTTAAGTGTACAACAAATTTCTTATTTTTCTTGTAACATCTACTAATTTGTGTCAACTACCACATTGTGTGCCCCGATTTGGTTACTTGGATGTTGGGAAGTAAAAGGCTTTTCGCGTATGAAATTTGATTGTTAATGTGATGTAGGGCCTCTCTCCTTGTCATTTTCTTCCATTCCCCACTCTTCATGTTACATGTGTAGTGATTGTATTTGCTTTCTAACATGTATCTACTTCAACTTATTGTTCGTTCTAAACCTTGTGTGCAGACAGCTACAACTACTGCGGAGGCTGAATTATCAACTACTCATCCCATTCGGCTGGGTTTGGCTTTAAATTTCTCTGTTTTCTACTATGAGATAATGAACTCCCCTGAAAGGTTTGTGTGGTTTTCATTAATTGAAGTCTACTCGCAACATGTTTTTCATCTCAGTTGATTAGAATCTGTTTTCATCAGGGCATGCCACCTGGCTAAGCAGGCTTTTGATGAAGCAATAGCGGAGCTGGATGCCCTTAATGAGGACTCCTACAAAGATAGCACCTTGATTATGCAGCTTTTGAGGGACAATCTCACCTTGTGGACTTCTGACATTCCAGAGGATGCAGGTATGTGCAAGCATATTCTCAAGGTTGCTTTGGTGTTTGCATAATCTACTAGTTGCTGGTTCATTAACTTTCTACGTGCTCTATTCTCCTCGTAGTTGCTACGGTAAACTTGAGTCGTCATGGGTGCTAAGTTGCCTATCACAGATGAGAGATATGCTCTGAACGAATTAGTTGATCTATTCCGAGCTTTAGATGGTATTTAGCATGGAATGCACTGTACTGTTAACACATTATTTTCGGGAATTAAAACACTAAGGGGCAAAAAGAAGAGTTGTACACGTCCTTTTCGTAGGGAGAAGAGAAAAATCGGGCAGAAAATACTTAATAGTTGGAGATTTTTTTTCTTGTTCATACAGTGTATTATCAACCGTTGGATTATTATTAAGAAAGGATCTGCCCAAATCTGCCTCCCCCCCCCCCCCCCCCTTTTTTTTTAAATATATTTATTTGCTTTCTGGAGGTCAAGCATTAGGGTTGTAGGATAGTGGGTAGTAGAGCTTTCCTTACTTCATACCCGGGGTGAGGCGGGGTTGGATTAGGGCTGATCTTAGATGGCTTGCAGTTTATGTTGAGTCCACACTATCCTTGTTGTTTATCTTAGCCCCGGGCCTTAGGTACTGGTTACTGTTATTGCATGTCATTTATCTTTTGGTTGTTATGCTTCTGTTACCATTACGGTTTCTTCTGGAGTTACTAATGAGTTTATTTCTGTCTTTCTGAGCCGAGGGTCTATCGGAAACAGCCTCTCTGCCCTATCGGGGTAGGGGTAAGGTCTGCGTACACATTATCCTCCCCAAACCCCACTTTGTGGGATTTTACTGGGTAGTTGTTGTTGTTGTTTTTAGGGTGAAGTTAAGATTACTTAAACTAGCAGGTAAAGACTTTTGACCTTCTTGAATTCATTGGTTGTATTCTTTAAGGTTCATTCAGACAGCTGCTCCTATTGTATTTGGGACATTAGAGAAAATTGACATTTCTGGTTATTTGCGCACTTCAAGGCTCGTTTCCAGTTAGAAATTGTTCCCTTTAAAAAGGTTTATGATCTCAATGTAACAGATAGTTTGAAACCCACAGGGGTTGGCCTGGTGGCAATAGACTTGAGCCTTGGGGTTTGCTCCCTTTCAAGGTCTCAAGTTCGAAACCCACTGGGTGCAAACAATTTCTGAGGGCCATCGGACCGGGTAAAACTTGAATTAACCGTGGTGCACTTGCGGGAAACTCCTTGCTGAGGGCCTGTGCACCCCCGGGATTAGTCGAGTCTCTTAGAGACTCGGACACCCGGTGCAAAATAAAAAAAAAATGTAACAGATAGTTTGAGTTGACAAGGCTATAACAAAGGTGCCCTCTGTGACACTACAACAATGCAACCAAATTGGATATATTTCGTTCTTTGTTACCATCAAGAGGAAACTTACCATTCTGATATATCATATTATTGTTAAAAATTCTCTCTTTTTCCTTTCTGAATAGAAGATGCCCAAAGGGGAGATGCTGCAAACAAAGCGAGTGGAGTTGAGGATGCGGAGGTGGGTTCTTTATACATCTTTGTCTATTTTTTGGTAATAATGTAGTTTCCCTACTCATTCTAAATTTTGGTGTGCACTTGCAGTGATGGGCAAACAAGTAGAACCTACCATCTGTGTGTTGCAGAGGGGAGGATGATGGTTCATCCAGGCGATTGTTTGTTTAGTCCTAATAGATACTTTGTTTCGCCTACGGGTGCATCTTGCTGGAGATTGTTTTCACATTAGTCGGATGTCATATTTACAGTGAATTGTTTGAGTCATTATAAATGATTGGTTTGGTCTCTAGCTGGTTTTATTTTTCAGATGACAGCCGCAGCTGAATGGAGGATATCAGCTGTGTTTGTCTCTTAAAACTTTATGATCCATCCTGAGTTTTGGTAGTTCGTACCTCTCACATTTAGTTTTAAAGATATAAGCCATTGGGGTGGAGATAATTGAGAAGGTGTCTGCATCTCACTCTTTATATCAAGAATTACACTGCTTTCTATGTGTTGTTAAAAATCCCTAACTTTTGGAATTTTTTTGAACATTTGCTTTCAAAATGATAAAATCCGATGTTTATAATTTAGTAATAAAGTGACAAATATGAAACGAAAAAAGAAAAGTTCACTGAGCTTTTGGCTTGGGTTGACCATATTTGCTTACATAAGTAACTAACTGAATACTGTTCGTTCTAGACTCCGTGTAACAAAAATCTCTTTAGAGTGATGACGAGCAATCAGTGCATGTTCTTTTGACAATCTAACATAGACCCATTCCAAAAGTTTGTTTTCTTTATTTATTTTCCTTTTGGAAATGCTAGTAGTGCTCTTTGTGCAGTAGAATTCCAGTTTATCAAAACTTGATGGTTCTCTGTCGGGAACAAGAGGATGAGGTATTTTGGCATACACCAGAATAGTTTTATTAGGCGTGGGGAAACGTTCTCTCTCTCACACACACTGTTCTTACCACACATTTCCTTTCAGACTAAACAATATTGCAAATACTGGGTTAGCCATCAGATTTTGCAAATTTCGAACTTCGGTAATCCACGGCCAAAATGCGCCCACTAAGCAACATCAGCACAAAACTGCTTAATAAGCAACATAAACAGTACAGTGCATCTTCACAAGGTGTCCCGTTTAAACTGTAAATTTAAGACAAAAATCCAAAAACACCTCTCAAGATACTCTACTGCTTAGAAACTCTAGACTTCTTTTTAAGCACAGTAGTAACATATTCTGTCATGATTCTTCTCTTCACACTCCTGCCTCTCTTAGAAACACCAACAACATCATCACCTTGAGTAGAACCACCATTTCCATCACGTCCAACAACATCACCTTGAGTAGAACCACCATATCCATCACGTCCAACAACATCACCTTGAGTAGAAACACCATATTCATTAAGTCCAACATTAGTAGAACCACCACATCCATTACGTCCAACAGCATCACCTTGAGTAGAACCACCACATCCATCACGCCCAACAACATCAACTTGAGTAGAACCACCATATCCATCATGTCCAACATCAGTACCTTGAGTAGAACCACCATGTCCATCATGTCCATCATGTCCAACAACATCACCTTGAGCAGAAACACCATATCCATCAAGTCCAACATTAGTAACTTTAGTAGAACCACCATATCCATCACGTCCAACAGCATCACCTTGAGTAGAACCACCATATCCATCACGCCCAACAACATCACCTTGAGTAGAACCACCATATCCATCTCGCCCAACATCAGCACCTTGAGTAGAACCATCATATCCATCACGTCCAACAACATCATCTTGAGTAGAACCACCATATCCATCTCGTTCAATATTAGTACCTTGCGTAGCAACCTGAAGGACCAAATCATGTAAAAAAATTAAAACTATAAGAACATCGATACATTAATACATAAAATTTTTGGGGAAGTAGTCACCTCAGTAATAGTTGACTGCTTTGTCAAGTTAATACTTAACCCTTCATCAGCAGCTTGACTTCCTGTTACTTCATTTGTGCCAGAATTACCCACATATCAGTGTAAAAAATTTCTGAGAATATTAACTTTATTAATCCATTTTACTAAATTAATTAGAGGATTAGAATAGTCACGTCAGTTTTCCGGCCAAAATTTGTATCTTCCGGTCACTTTTATCTTTTTTTATGTCAACTAGGTTTTACTAAAATGACTTTTGTGTCACCAAAAAAAAAAGGTGACTTTTGTGTTACAAAACTTAACTTGAATGAGCATTGGTGAAATTTATCCCAAAGCAATCCAGTAAAATGTGTTAGAAATGGGAAAAACATTGTACCACACAATTTGCATTTGCTTGCCACTCTTAAAATTCAATTGCCATGGTTGTCAATCAATCAATCAACTATATATGCATCAATCACTACTACTTGTATCTACAATTTGGAATTCTATTTCATTTGAATAATTCTGGTAAAAATCTTATGCAACAACGAAATTAGAGAAATCAGTACATCTTTTTCTAGCGGATCGAACCTTCTTTGTCAGTTGGTGGCAGCATAATATTCGGCACTGAGGAAGCTGAAGCATCATTGTTGGTCTTCTTCTTCTTCTTCTTCTTCTTCTCGTGGCAGTGATTTGAGTAGTCTCTAACAACTCCATCAGCAGAGAAACAAATGGTTTGAAGAGAGGCGACACAGCACTCTTGCCAGTTGAGTTGAGTTAGGTCTTTGATTGCTTCATCAACAGAAACAACCGCTTCTTCTGATGATATTTCCTCTTGTAATGTGGAGCGACTAAGGTCCATTAACTCCATTGTTTTCACCGCCTCAATCAGAACGTTCTGTGTAAACAATTAGAAACAGAATTTGACAAGGTAAGTAAACATTAATTAGCTATAATAATAAAAATCGGAACGCTGTGAGCTACGATTTTTTTACCTTTGTAGTCTCCATTTTTTTGAATCCGTGCATGCTAATGATCTGCAAAAATAATCAATATATACAGAAAAGGGTTAAGCACAGATTTATATATCTGGAATATTCTCATTGCACAAGGAACAGAGATTCAGCACAGATTGATAATACATTTTAGAAATTGGCAGTTTCAAGCATCAAAACAACTCTACAAACAAATTAAGAACAAATTTGCTTTTAAAATTCACATTATTGAGCTCCGATTAAAAGCAAGTAGGCGAGATTCTCACCTCCGAGTATGAAATTTACATAAACAGCAAAACAGTAAAGAAATACTTACTGTATATAACAAGCAGATCTATGCAGATTTTATAACGATTTTGAAATACTGAACGACAAAAATATTATAATAACAGTCAAGGAATCGATCGGAACTGCATCTAATTCACAAATACAATACACTGTAGAGTAGAGTAATCTCAGTATATATACAGATTGATAACCAGTTCAGATTGATAACGCATTTATAGAAATTAGCAGTTTCAAGCATCAAAACGACGACAAACACTATAAACAAAATCACATTATTAAGCTCAGAATACATAAAAACAAGTAGGAGAGACGCCACAGAGTATGAAATTTAGGTAATACAGCGAAACAGTGAAGAAGTGCTTTAAAACAAGCAGATGTTAGGTTATTTGATCAACGATCTTTAAAATACTGAACGACAGAGAAAATTATAGTCAAGCAAATCGATCGGAAACGCATATAATTCACTATAAACTACACGGTAAATTCAGAGAGGAATTAAGAACAGAGAGAGATACCTCCTTGAGATTAGCGATATTGAGATCATCGAGTTGCTTGTGACTGTGAATAATATCCAGGTAATTCTCTAAGCTTATCTTCTTCTTCTGTGTTTTCCCGCTCATCGTTCTACCTCCATTTCCACTCATTTCCATCTCTCTCTGTTTCTCCGTGTGATTTTGCGTGTGTTTGTGAAAGTTTTGAAATTTTGAGCGTATGCGGGATATTTATATAGGAGTACTAGTGAGAGAATGTTAACACGTTAAAAGCATTTTGGGGTCCACTTTCCCGCCACTGCTGTGGAAGTAAAGTAGTAAACACAATCCAGTTTCTTTTTTTTTTTCCCAACATTATTATAATCCAACTCATAAGGTTTGTGTTTACCATTATTTGGTGGTAAAATTAAAATAGAAAGGAAATATCTATAAATTTAATGGATGTAAGCTTCGCAACAGTAATCTTACTTGTGGATCGGTATATTATACTTATTTTTCTTATTTTAATTTTCTCGTAACCATTAGAATATTCAATTAAAAGATTCAATATTTATCCTTTCATTACATGATATTGCCCAAAAAAAAAGAGGTGGCAGATGTAGCTTATTAGCTACAAATTCAATGGAACTCAATATTTTTGACGAAACTTATATTTTGAACCCATAATTCCAAAAGAATAATAACGTTAGAGCTGAGGGAGCATCATTCAATTACAAATATCAATACTGGTATAAGAACCGAGGGATGGAAGTAGCCCTTCCCTTTACCTTTCCACTTAAATATCAAGCTTTAATTAGCAACACGATTAGAACTCGTGACATACACCTATTACACATTTTGTGCCTTATTTCTTTACCGTTGAACCAAATCCCTGGACCACCATTTTCTCTGTTCTCCGTGGAAATATGCCAAAGTCTTCGGCATAAAGAGAAAAGAATCAGATCTAGTGTTCAGTTTGCTTGTAAGCGGACAATCCAGGTATCTACTGCACGCAACTTTTGTCCTTGCTAAGTTGTAGCAAGTTGCCTGCCAAGCACGAAGACTAGCACTATTGCCTATTGGAACAATGCTGATGGCTTCCATCACCTCGAGAAAAAATAACAGATTGCAGAGGTAAAAAAAAAGAAGAAAAACAAGAACAAATTCGATCATTGTTCACAACGACACCCTGTTCATACAACTAGACTTAAACCTTTTATTTCGGAAAATATTGCTGAGGCTAAAGAGATACTGAGCAGAGTTATTATTAACGTTGATATGCAAAAGCTACATAAAAATCCGAAGTACAGAGATCATATAGTTTGACAACCACAAAAGAAAAGGTTGAATTTTTTTATAAATTACCAATAGAAATATGTTTAATTAGACCTTACCCTCCAAAATTCACAGCATACAGAATGATTCGCCTCTAAAAAAGCTCAACTAAATTACACATAACCTCCTAACTCAGAGCCTTACTCCTTCCAATTCCACAGAAATAATAACTTTCTCAAGATGAGTGATACAAGGAATTTTAATTGCCAGTTTGTCTGAGCTCAGGACGGACAAAGTCAGCATCTGCAGGAACTGAAATGTCAACTGTTGGCCGTAATTGGGCACAAACTTCAATAGCTTCGTGCACAGGATCACATACGAAATTGGTCATAAGATCCATATTGATGGGAGCGTTAATGTCGACTGCCACCAATGCCTGCTGGGTGAGGTTGTAATCAAATCGAGGGGCCCACTTCCTAGATCCTAAACGTGCTGTTGTTGAGCAATTGTCAACCATGAATGACACTCCACGTGCATGCATGAAAGGATTCAGAGAATCAACTGACTCGATGACGCTTTCATTTATGATCTCCGAGTAAGAATGGCCTTTCTTCCTCAGAATCTCTATCTGTTTACATTTGATAAAGATCAAAACGTTAGGTGACAAAGATCTGTCACATAATAGGGGCATATCTCTTTGCTTTTTCTTTTTAGACATTAAGGTAAGTTCCCATATCTTTCTCGACTGAGCTTTCAGGTTGTTTTTATTTTTTAGCACTTCAGGAAGCTTTCTGCAAGAGGACACCTGTACGAGTTTTGCGAAAACCTCGAGCAAAATTTTGCTTCCAGAAAGCTGAACTTCATCAAACAAGACCGAGATGCTCTCAAACTTAGCTAACACCATAGGTGTTGAACATCCATGTACCATTATCATATTCAGAAGGAGAAAGAAGCAAAAAGAGTAAACCAGAATAAACAGAAAAAAGAAATGAAAATAAATTGAGAGGAAGGTAAAAAGGGCTTGTAGCTAAAAAGAGAGCAGATAAGAGAAGGGTTTTAAGGAGATATACGTCAACAGCAGCTCAAAATACACACAGCAAGACGTCCTTTTACGGCTCAATCATAAAAATAAAATTAAACACATGGATGAAATAAAAAGCAAACCTGAGCCATCATCAATGCGACGTAGACACCAGCAGTGAAAGGATACAGAGGACCCAGATCACCAGATGGTCGTGTTGCACGAACACGCTCACCAACTTTCCACATCCTTGTCTGGTCTATTTTGCCCATTGGGAAAGCTGGTAATCCTTCTTTCTCCTGTATGTACAGAAAAAGAAGGTTAATAATCTTCATCTGATAATCAGTATTTGAGTTTTCCAAAATGCTGCAGAAGCCCTTGTATAATTAGGTTTCACCACAAGGATACACAATTTCGTCGTGTGATCAAACAAAAATGTAGGGGAAAAGCACCAAAAGCTAAGTAGTACAGGCAGTACAATCTAGATGGAAATTAAAAATTAATCCGCCTCCACTATTCTCATCATCGGTGGGATTATTTTTTTT